TATGGTCAGTCAGAGGTAAAAAATATAACCACCAAACGTTGATGGTATATTATCATCGTTGAAATCTTGATGAAATAGAGTTTTCAAATTTTTCACTAAAGCATTTTCTTGGCGCAGCACATTTGTTATAGATTCAACTTTGTGAGGTTAAACCAAAAGGCGGCCCAAAAAATCACTTAAATTGTATAAACAAACGATAACTCGCCCCGTTCCATTGTAACACACCGTGCCCCGCAAACTTTGTATTGATTAATTGTATCTATATTATATATTCATTTATGTATTTGTTTTATTATTTATTAATATATTTTTTAGGTAAATATATAATATAGATACAATCAATCAAAGTTTGGGCACGGTCTGTTACGATGGAATGGGGCGAGTTATCGTTTGTTTATACAATTTCAGTGATTTAATGCCCATGGTTAAACTTTGTTATTTAAACATTCATATTTTTATAGCACAAATCTAAAGGGTTTTGGAGTTCCAGTAATTTATAATGGATCATAATGGATCACCATTTCGCTATTCTGTCAAGGATTGCCATCTAATACAGGTATAAATGTACATAAATGATCACAAGAAATATTTTTGCTCAATTGACTTAACTTCTTTGGATGTACTAAACAATGTCATTTCTATTATTCGTAAAATATTCTTGTTTTGGACCACTAACATTGTTTCATTGTAACTCATTATTTTCGATATCAACAGACACATAAATGCAAGCAAAAGATTAATTAAGCATAGACGGACAAACAACGAAGCATGCAACATAGATATCAAAATAAGCCGAATAAAAAATAGTGACTTTTAGACAACTTTCACGTTAATAAAATTTCTATTTCTTTAATTCATTTACCGTTTCACCAGGTTGGTTGCTGACGCATTCGACAATTGTTTGTTTAATGTGCTTATAACATTTTAAATTTTCCTTTTAATAATTATACAGGATGTATCATTGAAACATTCTTTATACAATGATAATTTCTAAAAAATAGGCACTGGATGAGTACGTAAGGATTTGCTTTTTTATGATTGACAATTGCAAAATACCAGTATGACTGATATAATCTGACAAAAATGTGTGGGAACTCAAAATATTGGGTATCAAAACACAACATCATAACAAGGTTTTGCCAACACAACCACTACAACTTTGTTGTTTACATTTTCTATGTTATGTATCTGCATAATGTCAAAAACATCTCGCTATTGCCTGCGTTTCACTAGTCTATCGAACATTGGTGTCTACTATCAAATCTCTGAACAAACAAACGTTTAAATTCATAAAAGTTTGGGAATGGTATATAAAAAAGTGGAAATAAAAATTACACTATATCTTAGTAATGAGATGCCCCGATCCTCGTCAAATACATTTCTCAATACTACCTTTGAAAACGTTTTAACCTATGAATTAAAAAGCAAATAATGTTTCCTTACCGTTATGTTATTTGCTTATATATTTTCAAAATTATCCCTGTTCCTCATCAGAAAAATTTAAACAATGACAAACATTAATGTCGAAATGTACGTTCAGGCGGTTAACAAATATTCGAGTTCTCGGAAAATACCGCCATTTTTTAAGTGCTTTTTATGTCATTGAGTTTACTATTTATCTTAGGCCTGTTTGAAACGTCGAATTCTACATGAGCCGAATGCAATTAAAACAAAAGATATCGAGGATTTTTTCTCATTTTCTTTTGTTTTTAAAGCATTCCGTTCATGTAAATGTGACGTTTGAAACGGACCTTACCCTTACAGCGACATAAAGAGTTTTCTTCTTAAGCCTAGTTCACATATGACTGAGACATAACTGAGCCATTATTAAGGGCAAGCCTGAGATGCTTTCTGATCTTGTGGCTAAGGCAAGCCTGAGGCATGTCTGCGATGCTTTTCAATGACATAATTCAAATCGCCGATTGACCACAAAAATTTAGCTGCAATTTGAATTTGACAAAGTAGTGCTTCGTAATTTAAAAATAGCGTTACTATTAGCAATTTATGCGACCCTTTTAACAGTCATTCCAAAATACATCAAAGACGGGAGAGCCGGTTTAGAAAAAAGAGACTAATTTGTATTTCACTCTTTGATTTTTGTACTCTGGACACGATTTATCATATATAGTCCGATAGTTTCGTATTGTATCCATAAGTTTTTATTTTTATCTTAAAGTGATCGGAATTTTTCCATTGAATCTTTTTTTGGTTCCATGTACTGTGTTGAAAATTTGCATGATTCAGCGGCAATGATTGATCTCCACGCTAGGAGGTATAAATGTTTTTAAAGTAAGTTTCTTGAGTGGGATTTTTAATGCACTGTAGCTTCTATATTATACGTATGTAGTTATTAATTTATTATTTAATAAAACTACATTTAATTAAGGCTGCATGAGTATCAATTTTTGCTGAATCATGGAAATTGTAAATGTCAGATAATTTCAAATATTGTCAAGGTTGAAAAATGAGACATCACCATAAAATATGTGATGGTCAGTCAACAAATCAGCAAAATCAAAGTGAAGCACCTTTCATGTTGATGGAAAAATGCTCAAAGGTGAAAGAATGCGACTTTGACCAAAATTTTTCAACGCGCTTGCATTTCACTCATTTTCCTTCCAAATCGCAACAAACAACATAGCATTCCATAGCTAGAACCTTGAACTCTTTTTTTTTAAATATTTAAAACTACAGTTATTTATTCAGTAATTTACACACATCAGCAAGTAAAAGTTGGATTACCTTTTTTTGAAACACCCTGTATCAAGAACTTAGATTCCCAGACCATGGGGGTTCCCCTTTGGATAAATTAACTTAAATGTATATTTTATTAAATACGTGTATAATTTACGGAAAATAAGAAAATAAGAATCAAAGGAAGATATCAGAATTCAACCCTTTAATAACACCATGACAACTCGTAGCGTATAGTAAGTCTACCAGTGCTATGAAAATAAATATTTTGTTGTTCAATTAATTTTTCGTTACTCACTACACTACATATGAGATGACAACAGTAAATATAGGCCAGACACACATAATTAGAGTAAAAGCTCCATTTTTCTTGGCTACATCACTACCTAAAACATACATAAAGATAAATTACATTGTCAGGTGGTCACCAATGCCAGATCTATCAAAACGCTTGTCAGCAAAGGATTTTTATTGTGTTTAGTCTTTACAGAAAGAAATGGATTTTTGGCTCCATTCAAGGAACAAGATTCTTTGTTAGCCCTGGCTTTTGGGTATGTTTTCTTTCTCCTTTAGCTGACCAGCAACAGTTGCATTTTCAATTTTTGTTGGCAAAGGTTTAAATGGAGTGTTTGTTTGGTTCTTTTTGTTGTTTAATAAGAAAAATCATAACTTGTACATTATTTACATGAAAAATTTATAGTGCTTAGTAAGTTTTCTAAACAGCCCAAACCCTGGCTTTGCTGTTTAAATATACAAATTTCTGTTCACTGTGATGAATGGTAAAACATAATTTGTATTGAAAAGAATTGTGTGTGGAAAGAAAGTCAATAGTTTGGTTACTTGATTCAACATTTCTTTCTATTTACGGTTGGGGATTTACACCTTAATTGTTGTGACAATGTTCTTTTCTGCTTACATTTAAATGTAGTAAATCTCATTTTAATTTATATTTGATTTTCTTGGGATCAGAGATAACCACAACATTTTGTATTGTGATTTTGTGGTAAAATCATTTATGTAGCTGGGAGAATCAGTTTCAAAGCAATGTAAAGTATAAACTATAGCAAAAGCAAGACATGAATGTCATAGCAATGAAAATGACTCATTACTGTCCATATCAGTAGTAAAGACACCAGTAGAAATGACTCATTTACTGTTCTTATCAGTTGTAAAGACATTAGCCAAAAATGTCTGGTCATGTCATTCACTCCTGAACATGGATACATACTTTAAAGGAGGGTGTTGCCCTAGAAACATATTCCTAATATAAACTTTTTATAGTTTGTACACAAGTTCTCTAATGTTCGAATTAGGTTTTGGAAAAAAAATAAGAAGAATTTCCTTGCAAAATGAAATACTAACTGTTACACACAATGCCAGAGCTCTTCAAGATGCCCTGTGAATAAATGACATAGCAGACTCTTTATTTTGGGTAAGAGGCACATATTCATATATTTATGTTCTGCCACATTAAGTTTCTTTGAAATCCATTGTTTTCAACTGATTAAGACATGCATATATGAATTTGTGCCCCCAACTATTAAGTATCCTGCGCCACTGCTGGGATTTTTTATATATTAGTAAATCTGGTAGTCTAAAATCTGGTAGTCGGACAGTTAAATGTGTCATTTTTCCTTCTGTCAATGCTATGGCAATGATATCCTGCTTTTTCTTCAGGTTATTTACAACTTTCACTTTACATTGCCTTTATAATTTGAACTATAATAAAGTATTATTGAATCAATCATTGAATAAATATTTACTCCAAAGTAAAAAAAATAAACATTGTCATGACAATTAAGGTGTTAGTCACCAAATCAAGTATGATTGAATCAAATAACAATAACTGCATGTCCATTTCAAAAAACTACAATTCTCATAAATAGAAATTATATTTTGTAAATTATATGAATGAATAGAAATATATATAGAAAAGATTGTATTCATACATATATAGCAAAGCAAATCTTGTGGGCTTTTCAGCATTTGAAAAAAGGATGCTACATGATCATGGTTGCTGTAAGATCAGTATTTACTTTCATTATACAAGAAAATGACACAACAACATTCATTTTAAAGAACTTCACAAATTCTGAATAGTTAGATATTGCAAACTAAACTCATAAATATACTTTGATAGTTCCATACAAGTTTCTTAATAAAAACTGTTCCAGTAAATAAATTACAGTTAAAAACTTGAAAATACAAATGTTTGAATATTGTCAATAATATATTTATACCTTTTATAAATAAACAACTGGTGTTATTTGAACCTTTGTTAAAAGAAATCTACAATACAACTGCTTCTAATCAGCTTTCGTATAAAGAAGACATACCTGAAATAAAAAGATAAATTGATTTTCTTCTTCCTTAAAAATGAGCTACAAATTCATTTCCTCTTCTTCTATCTCCTTGCACGTTTTCATAGACAGGAGTATTTTAACTTCTAGCAAATAAAAGATAAATAGAAGTCCAAATGCTTCAGTTTCAATATCTATAGTTTGTTTATAACCAAATAAAGATTGTAGTATATTTGCAGTACATGTTCAGGTAAATGCTTTCGTTTTAATATCTTTCGCTCGTTCATAAAAATCTTTTGCTTTTTCGTACTCTTCCATATCATCGTAAACCGAACCCAGATTGCTGTACGTTGTCGCAATATTAACATGGTCAGGTCCAAATGCTTTTGTTTGAATTTCTATCGCTCGTTCATAAAAATGTTTTGCTTTCTCGTACCTTCTCATTTTACTGTAAACCAAACCAAGATTGTTGTACGTTGTCGCAATATTAACATGGTCAGGTCCAAACGCTTTCGCTTGAATTTCTATCGCTCGTTTATAAAAATCTTTTGCTTTTTTGTACTCTCCCATATTATCGTAAACCGAACCCAGATTGTTGTACGTTGTCGCAATATTAACATGGTCAGGTCCAAATGCTTTTGTTTGAATTTCTATCGCTCGTTCATAAAAATCTTTTGCTTTTTCGTACTCTCCCATATTACTGTAAACCGAACCCAGATTGTTGTACGTTGTCGCAATATTAACATGGTCAGGTCCAAATCTTTTCGTTTTAATTTTCATCGCTCGTTCATAAACATTTATTGCTTTTTCGTACCTTCCCATTTTACTGTAGAGCAAACCTAGATTGTTGTATGTTGTCGCAATATTAACATGGTCAGGTCCAAATGCTTTTGTTTGAATTTTCATAGCTAGTTCATAAAAATCAATTGCTTTTTCGTACTTTCCCATTTGATAGTAAACCGAACCCAGATTGCTGTACGTTGTCGCAATATTGAAATGGTTAGGTCCAAATGTTTTCGTTTGAATTTCTATCGCTCGTTTATAAAAATCTTTAGCTTTTTCGTACTCTCCCATTTTACTGTAAACAAACCCAGATTGTTGTACGTTGTCGCAATATTAACATGGTCAGGTCCAAATGCTTTCGTTTCAATTTCTATCGCTCGTTCATAAAAATCTTTTCCTTTTTCGTACTCTCCCATATTATTGTAAACCAAACCCAGATTGTTAAACGTTGTCGCAATATTAACATGGTTAGGTCCAAATGCTTTTGTTTCAATTTCTTTCGCTCGTTCACAAAAATCTTTTGCTTTTTCGTACTCTCCCATTTTACTATAAACCAAACCCAGATTGTTGTACAATTTCACAATATAAATATAGTCAGGTGCAAATGTTTTCGTGTCAATGTCTATCGCTTGTTCATAAAAATCTTTTGCTTTTTCGTACTCTCCCATATCATTGTAAACCGAACCCAGATTGTTGTACCTTATAGCAATTTTAACATAGTCAGGTCCAAACGCTTTCGCTTCAATTTTCATCGCTCGTTCATAACAATCTTTTGCTTTTTCGTACTCCCCCATATTTTCGTAAACCGACCCCAGATTGTTGTACGTTGTCGCAATATTAACATGGTCAGGTCCAAATGCTTTTGTTTGAATTTCCATCGCTCGTTCAAAAAAATGTTTTGCTTTTTCGTATTCTCCCATATCATTGTAAACCGAACCCAGATTGTGTACGTTGTCGCAATATTAACATGGTCAGGTCCAAATGTTTTGTTTGAATTTATCGCTCGTTCATAAAAATCTTTAGCATTTTCATATTCTCCATTCTTCCAAAGCAATAACCCAGCTCGTTGTACGAATAGGAAACATCAATATGATCAACACCTAACACTTTAGTTTGAATTTCTGTTATTTCATAAAGTACTTTAGTTGCAAGTTTATAGTTGCAAAATCTTTCCAAAACATCTACAAAATATTTGGCAAATTTCCAATTTCTTTCATCAAGTTTTTGTTTTGATGATTTTACATCGATCAACTTATTTAGGAAATGTTGAAATGATGAATTTGTTATGAATTTAATTAGATGTGGAATTATTTTGATTTCATCTTCTCTGTCTTCAAAATGATTTAGTGCCAAGCAACTTGACAGGCAAGATCAGCTGCAGTGGAATTATTTTCGTTTTGTTTACAGCCAAAGGTCTGCGATGAATAATTTATGATGGCTTCGTGTACAACGCTGTGCAGGCGGATGTCTTTCTTTTCCGTTTGAAGGAATAAAGAACAATGCTTTAATTCAAGACAGACATCTTCTGCAGATATTTTTGGATCAATGCTTTTAATAAATAGTATTATAACATCTTGTGGTAAGGGATCGAAAGATATTATTGAGAAAAGTTTAAAAACATGTTCCAACAAGATGGATTCTTCAGCATTTTTTTGTACTGCTAGCATAACAGTTTTCATTCCTAAATAAGATGTATTTATCTTTTGAAAATAGCCATCCATGTTTTGTCGCTCTCCTTCATTCAACTTATCAAAATATTGCTCCCACGTGAATGTCGGATTTACACTTTTTACTCTACCTACGTAGGAAGCAGCATTTGCCAGGAACAACGGTTGACGATCTAATTTGTCTGATAAATCCTTTAAATATTTTTCATCTTTATTATGAATATCAGAAAAGACAGATAGAAGTCCTCGACATTCTTCATCGTTCATACCATGACTAACTGAAATGTGTTTATTTAGATTTCCATCTGGTGGTATAGCATCTGTATTTTGGACAGTTACAATAATTTGACCATTTTTCCAGCTATGATCACCAACTTGAGGTAAAAATGGATAAATTTTATGAAGTTCAACCACGTTATCTACAACAATCCACCATGTTTGCCAAGATTTCACTTGTTGTGTCAGCAATAATTGAAAATCTTTAATTTTGTCTTCGCTGCTTTTTGCTTCTTTCAGAATATTTTCAATGACAGTTTTATCATTGCTAAAGTGTTGACAAAGTTCAGCATAAGTTTTTAAAAGGGATTCTGCATCATTTCCATAGAGTGTCATCACAAATGTTGTTTTATTTTCCCACTCAACCGACTTAAACATTTCTTCACAAACTTGTCTGGCTAATTCAGATTTACCACTGCCAGGATTACCAGAAATATAATAATATGTTAGTTCATTATTGTTAGTACTGCGCAAGTTATTGAGATCTGCTGTGATTTGATTAAGTAACTCTGTACGTTTAACGACATCGTGATTTGGTTTGCAAGGAAGTAATTGAAAAGAATTAAATTTGTTTCGTTGACATTTTTTTTCATTAATTTCATTGAATGAAAATCGTAGATCTTTAAATGACTTTTCAATATCACAAAGCATTTTGTCAAATTCGGTATTAGATACTCTTCCTGGATTATCATGGGTAAATTTGTTTCTTACAATACGAAGTACATTAACGGCAGATCTAACTTTTGGGTCAATTTTTGTTCCAATTGAGTTGGAAAACAATATTGCTGCAAATAGTGTTGTACAATCCCACTTACTTGTGTCACCCTCTTGAAATTTTGACAGAATATGTTTGTCATGTGGTTTCTTTTTTGTTTTTTCAATATTGAACAACTTCTGACCACTAACGTTTGTATTTTTCCATTCTCCGTGGGATTTTTTGTAGTTAATGTTCCACTCTTTGATAAATAAATCAGCAAGTTTCTTCGTAACAACATCTGTAAGTATTTCTTGCAGGTAGAAGTTATTAATTTTATCTCTTGACTGCATCTAAAGGTCATAAAATTATTAATATATATATAAATTGGTTCTTTAATTAGAGTTTATTAACAACTAAAATTGTTGAAGATCAAACATAGCTACGTAATGTTACAGTTTTACTTGTACGTGTAAATGAATATAGAGGATGGCAGCTGAAAACAACGCAATTGGACCTTTTAGTTTTCCTGCATTTAGCCATTTGGCTACATTTTGGTAGTGGCGTCGCCAGGATTTTGAGAGTGGAGGGCACGAAATTTGTACCACGTCAGTCGCTAGCGAAATGGCCCTAAAATTGCTTCTACACTGGGAAATTTTTAAAATATTTATCACAACATTAATAGTTTCAATTTTTAACTTCCCAGTTTAACCCTGGCGAAATTGGTTATTGTTCGTGTTGAAACGTTACGTAGATTGATTATTGATTTTAATGAAATGTTTTCATATTATAATACTTCCAGAATTGTAGTATTTTTATGAGCCTTAGTCTTAGTCATTGCTATATTTGTATTTTTGTGTCTACAACTTTGAGTCTTCGAGTATACTTGTTAATGATCTCATACAAGTTCTATGATATGGTGTAAAGTGGTTCATAACATGCATCAAAATATTACTTGTTATTTCTTGCCTACTAGAGACTTGAATTATTCTAAAATTATTGTTTTTTTTCTTTTTAACTGACACACAAAAGTTTGTCTAACTGACACACAAAGTTTGTGCAGGCAGTCTACTTGAATACAATGACTACTTAGTCAGCTGTACAATAGAAATATATATGAAGCAGAGTGCTCTGTAATTTAGCCTTTGCATTTAAAATAATTCCTATTTTTATAAAAGATCTGATTGCCTTCTAGAATTAATTGTGAAGAGAACCATGAGAAATTTTTCAAGTATTCTTCCTTTTCAATGAAAAAATCATGTTAAATATAGGACACGTCTTGTAAGCCATGTTTTATAGAAAAAGAAACAAAAAATTCATTCTAGTTTTGTAGAATGCAGATTGAGACTGTGTCCAGGTGAACATTAAAAATCAAATTAATTGCACACTGTAAAATATTGTGGTAAATTCTGGTATTACCTTTTTATAGTATTCTGTATGTAATCGACACGCAAACTTCCTGTAAATGCCATCAAATTTACAATTTACTAATTGTGTTTCTTTGCATGCATTTAAAGTTTCTTAAAACATGCCTAACACTTGAAATGTTTTGGAAAATCTAGAAAATGAGAAAAAAGCTCAAAAATTTTGTCTTACATTTGTTGAGTCATGCTCTTAAACCACAGAAACATGTTAAAGAAATAGTATGTGTGTAGTTTGGTTTACAGACGGCTAACAGCCAATGAACAGTTATTGGCGTTAGTTAAATTTCCTTATGTACCATGTATAGATTAAATAGAGGAACTATTCCGACCAATAATAATATTTGTTATTTGTAATAGACTATAAATACTGCTCTGTAAAATAATAAAAATCAGTTCGATCATTAAGTTCACTTGTGGTTGTTAATGAAGGTATAGAGTATATTACGAAAAGAGATATGGCGAGTTACTCGAACTCAACAGGTTATGGGTCCAGGAGAGGTTTGCTTTTCGATGGAAGCGAAAGCAAATACGAGTTATGGGAAGTAAAATTCTTGGGCTATATGCGTCTTCAAAAACTCTACGACGTATTTATCGAATCAGCAAGTGAGAGAGAAGAACCAGCAGCTTTAAAACTGGCTGACGCTTTTGCAGAGTTGGTCTAATGTCCGGACGAAAGAAGTTTGTCTCTTGGAGGCGAAAGACAATGGACGAAGCGCTTTAGAAACCTCAGACATCACTATCAAGGCAGAGGAAAACCTCGCATCATCACTCTTTACACGGAACTCACTTCGCTGAAGAAAAATGACGGCGAGACTGTCACAGATTATATATTGCGAGTGGAACGATCAGCAACACAGGGTCGGATCTAGAGTATGTCAAATCCGTCGCGCGACTGATGTTTGAAATTCAAAAATTACCTATTCATGTTAATTAAAAATTCATTAATTATTCTTACTTTATTATCGCATTCACTTCGTGATAAAAATCCAGCTTTATTTATTATTGAAAACTAATGACTATAGCAATGAATTTCTCGTTGGTAACCAGATCAGTTGAATTTTAATTGACCTGGAATAACCGACTGATAAGCGGGGTGGCTTGACTGGTTCGACGGATAAAAGAGTCTAAACGCCAAAACGCTTATTTTATTGGTCAATGGCCAGATCAGATGAAATCTGAATGGTCTGAATGATAAGAGGGTGGCCGGACGTATAAGGAGTCCAAATTGCTATCTTAAAATTGGTTCATTTTGAATTGTTTTGTTGTGATTGTAGTTTGATCGGATTTCGACTGATAGCCAACTGAAACCAATATACTGTCAGCCACTGTCTGAATTGAATGTTTGATCGTTTCTACAGTAATTTTATAAAGCACGATAGAAACTAATCTAAATGTTGAAATGGAAATTTTTACAATCATATATTACTAAATTGCCAACCAAACTGCAGAATTTTCAAAGAGGGTGAAAAATTTATTAAATTGTAAATAAATGGCGTTAACGATCTCGCGAGCAACATTTAGTCATTTGCAAATGTGGCTGTGAGATTGCCAGGCGGAAAGCGAATTTTCAATATGAAACATAACAGCCCAACAATACTTTTAAAAGCCATCACAATAATAAAATAGAGAAGGATTTATTATTTACGTTTGTCTTTAACTTCAAGACATCTTCAGATTAATTGAGTTAATATATATACACGAGGTTTTAAATACGTTGATACGGTGTAAGTGTTAAATACGTGAGAGAGCAAAGTTAATGACGGAATTGGTGAGAATGGCGGTATACGAAGAAGGTGAAAGTATCATTGCCTTGGAAGTGAGAGAGGGTTTAAGTTTGGATATAAGAGGCTTTCATGAACCATAAGGTCATAAATGGAGGAGGAAAGAGAATTGAGAAATTTAAAACGCAAAGAGATGGCTTCATGAGAAGAACTGCAGATGGTGGTGGATATAAAGAGCCCCTTGTTAGATTTTGCAGTGTTGAGATTTCTGGTGGTGACGATGAGGTTTGACCCACATACGATGTAGCAGCATCGATACTTAAATGAGTTTACAACACCAGATCTCGTGAGCCAGAACCCTATCCTAAAAGTAAAGAAAGAGGCAGAAAAATTCATAAATGAAAAACACAACGAACTTTTGTCCCACTCTGGTACACGTAATGGCATACTTTATGACTCCCCTAAAATTCATAAATCCTCCATCCCTCTAAGACCACCATCTAGTATTGACCACTACCCCACAAGCTAAAGCCAAATTTATTCTTTCTACACCATCTCTGCCAACTCCCATGTTATCAAGGGACTTTTTTCTGTCCAAGATCTTACAAAGTGACATTAACGCCATAATGTTGTGATGGCGAGCTTTGATGTTAAATCATTGTTCACTAACATCCCAGTGGAGGAAACAATCGCCATAATAACTAATCACATCTTTCCAAAATGTCCTTCAAGGTCTTGACCGTTCACAAATCACCAACTTCTCTCCCTCTCTTAAAAACAGTCATTTCTTTAACGGCCAAGTTTATCAACCGATTGATGGTGTGGCTAAGGGCAGCCCCCAGGCCCACTGATATTTGCAAATACATGGTGGCTTCCTTCAATGAAAATTCATGGCTTCACAACTGTCCTCCACCTTCAAACCCTTCTTACCAACGTTACGTTGTTGATTGCCACTCTTCCGATCATTGAACAAACCTCTTTCACCATCTCAACCACCAACATCCTAACATCTCTTTACATCTGAACTGGAAAAGACAACACGCCTCTTTCTTGACGTAAAAATAACGCGCTCAAACGGCAAGTTTCCACCTCCGTGTATCGTAAACCCAACTTTCACTGGTCTCTCACCACTTCCATAGTTTCATTCTCATTCAATACAAAACGCCCTTGATCTCTCTTTACTTCAGATTCAACCCTGCTCCAGCTATGAACACTTTCATACCGAACTAGAAGTCGTTAGAAAATTGTTCACCTTTTAAACAACTTCCCTTCATACATTTTGACAATCATGCTCACCGCTTCTCAATAACAATACATTTGAACCCAAAGATCTTATTCACACTGCTCCTAAGAAAATCATAAAATTTCTGTCTCCCTTTCACTGGCCTACACTGTCTTCAGATACGTACTCAAATCACTCGACTCTGCAATGCTGCTCTTCTCATATCAACGTTCTTTTTTCGTTCTTCCAGGCGTCTCCCTCTTCTTTCCTTTTAAGGATAGGGTTCCCAAGTCCTGAGATCTGTGTTGTATAATCATATAAGTGTCGATGTTGTTTGCATCGTATGGGTCAAACCACGCGTCATTTACACACCAGAATATCAGAATTTGGGAATTCTCCCTTAACAGGAAGCCTTCATATGTCCACCACCATCAGCAGTTCCTTTTCTCATATAAGAAATACATCTCACCCTGCCGATTTTATTGATTTCTCAATTCTCTTCCTCCTCCACATTATGACCTTATGATTCATGAGCCTTCTTATATCCAAACCAAACCCTCTCTTAACACCCAAGGCAACTAACCCCTTCACCTTCTTTAATATACAATCATTATTCTACTCAATTCCGTCATCTAAACTTCCTACTCCTCTACATGTAATTTAACACCCCATAATATATGCTTGTATTTAGAACTCGTGTATATATATTAACTCAATTAATCTATGTCTTAAGTTAAAGACGAAACGTAATTAATAAATCCTTCTCTATTTTATTATTGTGATGGCTTTTTTAAAAGTATTATGTTGGGCTATTATGTTCATATTGAAAATTTCAGTCATTGATGTTCAAAAGAAAGCCAACATTGTTTTGAGTTTTATCAACGGAAATTTACGTCCAAACGTAAGCAACGCAAGCAATGAATGTAACATACAAACAATTTGCGAGTGTGTGTGACTCGACAATATATGTATGGTGGGTGATAGGATGCTAAATTGTTGTTGACGAAAGGATTCTTTAGCTATGATTTCATTATTAGTGCTTGGGAATCGTGACTGTTATATGGCAGCGAAGTCCTACATTCTGCAAATATATTTAAATGGACAAAAGATCTGTAGCCATAAGGCGCCATACTATTATTTACTTTATCATAAACAAATGTTTGGGGCTTTTTCTAGTCATGATCAAATCCAATCATTGGACAATTATACTAATATATTGTTTAAGATTTGAGAAAAAATCAACAATGATTACGAGAAGCTGCTTTATCTAACCTGTGATTTTGAGTCTTCTGATCCATGAAGTTTTATTTTGACAATTTGACTAGAATGGTATTAACTCTGAGGATTTGGATACATGAAATGTTGTCCCATGTCACATAATTGTCCCCTTTCAACTGAACCTCATGTAGAGATGTAAAGGTGTGTTAATCACTATTCAACCAGATTGTTTGCCAAAACCCAAAAGGCTATTGGATGTATGAGCAATATTTCTATAAAGCAAAAAATGTCCTCTATGTACGATAAACTTGAAATTTGGCAAAACAATGTATTTTCATGATCAATGGAATTTTTCTGATGATCATTATAATTTCTAAACTAACTATTTGATTTACATTTAACGAGCTTTGATCATATGAAAAGATATTTATTATAACCAGTAAGCATGACACATGAACCTTTATTTTAACATTCATTTTAATTATATAATTAAAGACATGTTAATACACCCTATTTGTATTTGCAAATACAATGCTACTAGTGATTGCTATATAGCACACCTTGCAGAAGATAATAGTCTAGTGAAATGCCTAATAAACATAATGGCATTAAGCTGTCCTTAACTGCAAATTTTCACTCTGATAATTTTGCTTAATATTTGGCAGAAAATATTTTTGAGTTCTTTCAAAAGTGAATTTGCTGGCATTGATGTGATATGGGTAAAGGGTTACAATAAACTTGCATGGTTTGAAGTCTGAGCTTTTCTATATCTATGTACTGTCACTTGTACCCAAATTTCTAACTTAACTCATTACATAGAGGTTTGAATGGGGGTCTCTCATGGGGTCTATGCCTGACAACTTGGTAGAAATTTTTAAAAGACTATATCTGTTTTTAAAATAGCATTATTGTAAAATAAATTTTA